GTATGTTTTGTGCTGTTTTCCTCTATCCCTCTTGCCTTCAATCTATCCTGTGAGTATCAGATTTTCCGAGCTCTCTTTCCTCATTATGTGTCCTAGAAATTTCAGCTGTCTCTTCCTGATGTTAAGTATAAGTTTCCTTTTTTTCCTTGCCATTTTTTCAAGAACGTAGGATTTGATCGCATATTCGACCCATGGTATCCTCAACATCCTTCTGTAGAATCACATTTCTGTTGCATCGTCTCTTTATATATCCACTTTTATTTAGTGACTTATTGCCACTTGCCAGGCAGCTCTTCGATATCTTTTGGGTAAAATTCTTCTTCTTTGCTGCGTCTCTTCATAGTACTCTACAATTTCCAAATTCCTTGTAGCTCTTAGCACCGTTTGTCGTTTGCCATGCACCCCCCTATTCGCCTTCCGCCATCCACTCACCCAAGCTGGGGAGGTATGTCGCTCACTCCATTTCACTGTCTCTCTTGCCTTCGACATCCCCTGTACGTGTGTTAAATTCTCCAAGCCATCCTTCCTCATTATGTGTCCAAACATTGAAATCTTTGGACACATAATGAGCTCTCTCTTTCTAGTTCTAAGTAAAGGTGTCACTTTTGTTTACATTTTCCTTATAGAACATCCCCGTTAAAATAATGTTCTGTGGGCATTCTCAGCATCTTTCTGTAGAACTACATTTCTGTTACCTCCAGTGTTATCTTCATCTGTGAGAAGATTGCCAATCCATATAAGAAAGTTGATATTATATAACCAACTGTAGAACTCAAATACTCAATTTCTTCATAGCGCGTTCACCATAAACAAATTTAAATACAGTAACGTTTCTCTAGCACATTTACTAATCTTTGCACAAAACCATTACAATTAGCCATATATCATTAGCTATTTTTAATATATCTAATAGACGGTTGAGTAATGGATAGCCAATTGATTGGATGGCCGGATTGAGGAATCGGAGAGCTGAGTTCGAATTCCAGTCGAATCCATTACGTTCACCTACGTGCTAATACCCTTGGTAAAAGTATGAATCCTTGGATGGCAACTGGTCTACTGTAGAAAGAAATGGCAACTTACTGCGGGAAAAAATCTGCCTCGTCACTCATATATCGAAAGTTACATGATCGCCTACACGTGTATCTGACTGACTGAATGTTTTACTAGCACAAGCCTTATATAAAACTTGATGTTAATCCGCTGCTTCAGATTGCTTTGACTCATTTTCGCCAAAGTTATAGCATGATCACGTACAACTTCCTCTACTGCTCGGCAACGAAAGATTTATCTGTGTTACATGATATCAGGGCTTTCAGTATTTTTACCTCTTCAGAGCTAAGATAGAAATCAACGGGGGCTTAGTTTGGGGAATACAGTGGATGGCTTATTTTTATTATGGATTTCTTAGCCGGAAACTTATGAGCAACTGACGTCATTTTTTTCATTTTCAAGTCCTCTGTTAGAATCTACTACACAGTTTCCATATTCAATTCTTTTGCTCCTAGTCGCACACTTAATCTTCAATCTGAGTACATCGAGGTTCACACTCTGTCCATATTTCTATCTTTTGTGATTCTGGCTGCCCTCATCGTACATATCTTTTCGCCCTTCCTTGAACCACTTGTATCATTTAAAATCTCTTGATTTCTTCCGAGCATATTCCCCATAACCCATCTTTATTAGGGCTAACATTTCACAAGCGCTTTTACCGATATTTATACAAAGCTTGATGTTACTCTAGATTCATTTCACACATTTAACACGAGCATAACATAAGGTGGAGTAATGGATTGAGGAAATGGAGAGCCGAGTTCGAATTCCAGTTGAATCCATTACGTGCTAATACCTTTGGGAAAGGTATGAATCATCTTCTTCGCCCCACCACCCGCCAGCTATTGGTAAATAGCAGGACAGACTGGGTTCTAATGAAACTCTGAATCCAAAACGGGCCTGAGAGAAGGTTGGGCCTCGACTAACACCGCTTCTACTGTGGCTAATGGGTCACGGGATTCGCGATCGCGATATCATGAACACGTACAACTTCATCTACTGCTCGACACCACAGTTCTGCAAATTTTCAACAGATTCTATGGTCATTTCGGAAATTAAAATATCACACCACATTTAATCTTTTCAGACTAAAGTGTTCACACTAAGATCTCAGCCATGGTTTCTCACTCGGAAGCAGTCCAAAAGCAGGTAAGTTCCTGCTTTACAAATTCCACAGAACTGAACAGAGAAAAAGACTAAGACTAAGCCTTCATTAGACTATACAAACGTGACTGGGACAAAAAAAAGACTTTAAGAAAGACACAAAACAGTCATCGTACTGTCCATCCTCTATAAGGTGCCGAATCTTAGGTCAGATATAAGTATCATCTACACCTTATTGAGAACTTCAATCAGTGCTGCCTACGCACCATACTAAAAGTACATTGAAGTCGTTTCATTATTAATTCTAAAGTTCTAGATTCAGCAAGGGCCATAAGATTCAGCTATCAAAAATACCTTATTTCTATAGTAAAATCATCATTAATTTGCTTACATTATTTATATAATAGCCTAATTCTATGACTAATGCTATATAAGTACATTGAACATCAGGAAGAAAAGGATTTCAGTGGTCAAGAATGAATGTTGTTATAAATATGGCGACAAAGATGAGGACCATAATCCTAATAATGTAAATAATGTACATAATACCTCATCTCAGAAATATAGACAGATACTGAAAGGCCGAAACGTTGTAATAAATATGGCGACAAAGATGAGGGTAATAGTCCGAATAATGTAAACAGTGTACATAATACCTCATCTCAGAAATATAGACAGATACTGAAAGGCTGAAACGTTGTAATAAATATGGCGACAAAGATGAGGGTAATAGTCCGAATAATGTAAATAGTGTACATAATACCTCATCTCAGAAATATACACAGATACTGAGGGATATTATATGTATTATTTTACTTATGATTACTGACCAATGACGTCTTTCTTACTGATTTTCAATGCATTTCTCGAGTAATCGAGAAATACATTGAAAACCAGAGGATGACATGGTCAGGAATTAAGGCCATCGTTGCTGACAGACAGACGTAGCATGTTTTCAAGAGATAGAAAAAAAACAAAATGAGAGTCTTACCACGAATTGCACCATTGTTCGTTGTAGCTAAAGTAAAACCTATTATTTTCCAATAACAACTTAACTGTTGTAGTCCGTTCGGATTTCAGCTTGATTGAAAATTTGATGAGGTGAAGAAAGTTCCGTATTTTACAATCGTACATTTGGGGATATTTTCAACAGAGACTTAAAGAACTTCCAATCAGAAAATAAATAAACGAATAAAAACAAAAACACGAATAAACAAAGACTCTTAAAACTAGACGTATTCTAATTTAAGTAATTCTTATTCTTTTTATGTTTTTAGCCTTTTCGCGACCGCACTTTACGTGTTATTATGGTAATTTTGTTGACGCTTATAAACATACTATATCTATTCATTTCTTCGTTAAATAAGTATTCAAAGTTAGTTTGTTTTTTAATTCTTGACGGTTCACCATTATCTACTGAACACGCAGACGTCTCCGTTATATATATATATATATATATATATATATATATATATATATATATATATATATATATATAGTAAACCTAAAGAGCCAGACAAACCTACCTAGGTTTCACCTACATATATATATATATATATATATATATATATATATATATATATATATATATATATATATATAAAAGTTGATGGCAACGAGTTGTTGGTAAATTAGCAGTCACGTTGGAATGTCTGTCTTTTCGTCTTTTGGTTAAAGCCAACATTATCAGACGCTGGAAACGTGAATGGAAAGACGATTCGAGCAATTTATACCCAACTAAACTTTTTACATTTAGAGAAAAAATATCTTTCTTGAAGGGTTTCAAATTGTTTATTGGTGTTTTCGCATTTTTTTTTTAATTGGGGTTACCTTAATATCTCTGTTGTTGACCGCTCGCACTTTTTATCAGTCGGTCAGTTCAGCTGCGATTCCTATATTGAAAGGAACCGATGATTAGGTCTTCTTCTTCATGTGCCCTTCAGGACATATGCGATCATGGCTCTCCACTTCCTCCTATCCCTTGTAGTTCTCAATAAGTTTCATCTCTCTGCCATGGAAACAAGTGGATGACAGAATGTGCTCTGGGGCCTCCCCCAGAGCACATTCTGTCATCCACTTGTTTAAGCCTTCCAGGTATGTCATGCACTGCTTTCCCTTGTCTCTCTTTCCCTCTATTCGACCTGTGAGTATCAGATTCTCCAAGCCCTCCTTTCTCATTACGTGTCCCAGAAATTTCATCTGCCTCTTCCTGGTGTTAAGTATAAGCTCCCTCCTTGTTTGCATCCTCTCCGAAACCTCATCGTTGCTCAGTCCATGATATGCTTAGCATCCTTCTGTAGAATCATATCTCCGTTGGCTCAAGTCTCTTCATCTTTGAGGAGACCGTCCAACATTCGCTGCCGTAAAGGAGGACAGACGTCACGTAGCAGCTCAGTTTTCTTTGTTATCCTGTCTCGCAATATTCCGACTCGCTTTTGGAAGGCGTCCTTGGCCATCTCAATACGTTTACGGATCTCCGCGTCGCACTTACCGTCCTCCGTCAAAATACTTCCCAGATATTTAAACTTCCGCACCTGTTTGATTTTAGTATCCCTGAGCTGCAAATCGCAGTGCACATATAAATAAATACGTAAGAATAATTTAATTACTTGACCCATCAAAACGAAACAGCCTTCTCCTCCGACTTTGTTAGGCTTTAAGATCCAAAACCCTGTTTAGTTTGCAGATAAGATAATAAACGTTACAGATAACGATTTTACCCGCTGGATGCTATTGCAACATTAGAATCATAGCAACCATGGTTCTCCACAGCTTCCTGCTCTCAGAAAGACTTACTCTTTTATGATTCCGCTTTCTGTTGCTCCTTCCTCCATTTGCTGAAGCCAAATCACGTTGAAACATTGGTTCTCGTACGATCACTGAAGTTAAGCAATGTTAAGCCTGGTCATTATCTAGATAGGTGACCACTTGGGAATATCAGGTGCTGTAAGCTTGGATGTGCCGAGTTCTAATTCTAGTTGGGTTCGTTCTATTTATTTACGCGAAAATACTCTTGGGAAAGGTATGTATCCACCTCTTCTCTCCCCAGCTATGGGTTAATTATTCAGACTTGTATCACTAAACCCTTATTATCTAACAAAAATTCTTACAATCTAAAAATATTCTCTAGCTTTAAATAACCTGCAAATAAGCCGTAGAAAGCGAATCAATCAAACGATTTTATTAAACTTGTCAAATAGGTTGTTTCTTCTCTGTAATTCTCTTGCTATCGATGTGTCCCGTGAGTGCTCGATTCTCCAAGTCTTCTTTTCTTATAAAGCCACCTTAAATTTCCAGATGTCTTTTTTCGATTGTTAGCAACAATTTCTTTGTATTTACGCTACTTGCATTGTTCGGACTGTTACCCACCATCTTTGTTGCCATATTCACGCAGTTGAAGCTCCGGCCTTATATAGGATCTTTCTATAATTCTGAGATGAGATACTGTGATTTTTTGCGCTATTTACATTGTTCGGACTTTTGTCCTCATCTTTGTTGTCATATTCATGACGTTTCGGCCGTTGCACACTTGATGTAGGAAAAAGAAAAAATCTGAATTCAAAAAACCAACCTGGAAAATACCACTGCTACTATGGTGATCGCGAGTGCCCATTCTGGTATAATATTGTACAAAGCATTCTTTGATATTTCTGTGTATTTTTTTTCTTGGGTTTATTAAAAAACATCTGGCATTCTGTCGATACATTCGACGAAAAACGATATATCGTAGCGATATATATTTTATAGGGTATAGCGAAGATCAAAATAGGAGAGCCAAACGCTAGCTGAACTGTCAAGCCAGGTAAGAGTTCAAAACACTCAATATGACAATGAAAACGATTCCTACGTCCGAATGATGAACTGGTCTTCTTAATGAACAAAAAAAAAACGATAATTAAATTAGCTCCACATAACATCATATTCCATGGTGAAACAAATGAAATGTATGACAATGAAATGTTTATTTTACAACCTTGGTTGACAGTGAAAAACTTTTGGTTACGTACGTCAAGTTATATTGTCATCTCTACCGACCATATCCGCAACATATATATATATATATATATATATATATATATATAGAGAGAGAGAGAGAGAGAGTGGGAGATAAAGAAAGGTAGAAAGAAAGATAAAATATAGATAGTATGTAAAGGACTGATATATATATATATATATATATATATATATATATATATATATATATATATATATATCCTTTACATACTATCTATATATATATATAGCTCTCTGGGGAAGAGGTGTGGGTTTGTAAACAGCGACTATTAGGGCTGATATAGCGAGACTCTTCGACAAAAGCGAATTGAGTCACTGTCGGTCACTATGTGTGTTTATTTAAAAATAAATACGCTAAAATTCATGCTCATCCCTGCCGTACGCCAACGGCTTAGTGGTAGAATCTCCAACCGACACCAATTCAGACGGGTTTCGATCCTACCGAGAAACAACCGGATATCTAGCCACACTGAAGAGCTGCGAAACAGTCTGACTGTGGATGACTTTTTATATATATATATTATAAATTAATTGATTTAAAATATGTTTTTTCGCTACACAGTTCTAACCATGTTTCAAAAATGGAAGCTGAAAGCCCCGAATTTAATTTTGTAATTAAATTAAAGACATTAGTTCCATTTCATCCTCAAGCGAATTTTGGAGTAACTTGTAAAATCACTGGGTTTTAAAGACACTGCTAAAATCATAATTCATGTTTCCAAGGTTACAGATAAATCCACTTCCACTAGACAAGGGGTGTCTGTGTGTTCATTATCGCTGTATTTTGATGTATCAGTTATTAGTTACGTTTTTGTAGGGGGTAGGGATGTATTTTTCAATGAAATCTGACATCCGTTAAATGCATGTCGTCTGGATTTTTTAAAATTTTATTGTTAACGGCAAAAATTCTATTTGTATATTTGTATATTTAAAAGATTTTTTTTTGGTGTGTGTTTAGGTTAGAATACGTTTTATTTAACTACGATTTGAAATATATATATACATATATATATATATATATATATATATATATATATATATATATATATATATATATATATATATATATATATATATAAAGAGAGAAAGAAAGAAAAATATATATATATATGTGTGTGTGTGTGTGTGTGTGTGTGTGTGTGTGTGTGTGTGTGTGTGTTAGGAGGTACGGTTGAGTAATAGATAGTGACTCGGACTTAGGAATCGTAGAACCGAGTTCGAATTACATTAGATTCACTTACCTGCTAATAAATACCTTTGGGTGAGGTATGAATAAGTTATGGGTAAATAGTATCACAAACTAGGTTCTATAGCCTTGGATGGCAACTTGTTTAGGAGAATGACAACTCTGAATTCAAAACCTGAAAGAGGGCCGTTTGAGAACCTTGTGGCACATGGTGTACCAGGTCTCTGTATTAAAAAGTGTGGTTGGTTTAACACAAAGCATTCACCACTATAATCAAATCAAACGTACTGATGTCTGGAATATCGGCTCCTAGGAACTGAATGCTTAACCCTCATATATCAAAAACGACAGAAGATCCCCCCCCCATATATATATATATATATATATTGCATTATTCTAGCGGCTACTCAATAAGACTGATTATAAGAAGAAAGATAGTTATTTCGTCCTTATTGCTATTTCACTGACGTCTGTTATTATTTAGCTGTTATTAATTATAATTATACTAATTATAATTATATTAATTATAATATATTAATTATAATTATATTAATTATAATATATTAATTATAATTATATTAATTATAATATATTAATTATAATTATAATTATTATATTAATTATAATTATAATTATATTAATTATAGGTCATAAATTCATATTTAAGTCATTCGGTGATGGGTAATCAAAAATGAATAATTTTTTTACAGTAAGTTTCACCCTCTACAAGGCTCAGGGCCACTCAAGGTAGAGGGTTACGTTAAGAGTTAATTTCTACGGATAGGAGAGGAAGATAATGGTTATCTCTAGAGTTGAACAGGTTAAGACTGTTGTGATCGATGAAACATACTTGAGAGTCTGTTCCACAGGGCAGTGGTTCGTGGGAAGAAGCTGTTCGAGTGGAACTTATATCTCACCAATGGAACACGGAGGGAATGTTGGTTGTTTGCTGCAAAGTAAGTGGCATGTCGGGTCCTGGACGTGAAGGTTAGGCCTAGCGGAACCAAAGAATGTAGTTGGTCTGTGAACTCTTCATGGAAGTAGTGATAGCGCAGTAAGAGACTAGAACAGTCTACCCCAGTGAGCGAAATAAAGGGTTCAGTTCGAAATTCCACCTGAAGAAGGCCGGAGTGTACAACGGCCGAAACGTTGTGATAAATATGGCGACAAAAATGAGGACAATAGTCCGAATAATATAAATAATGTACATAATACCTCACATCAGAAATATAGACAGATCTATGTTTATATATATATCTTTCTATCTCTAGCTGTTTTATATCTATGCATCTATTTTTTATATTTTTATATCTATCTTTATCTTTTTATATCTTAACGGTTGAATAATGATGGTCTACATTGAAGAGGTGGGGGCTGCTAGATTTGAAATCAACTTCATCCAGATGTAAGCCAGGTGCTGACCAAATAATGGCGCTATAAATTTGAATAAATAAAAGATCTTGTTAAAAATGTTATCAACTTTCACATTTACTTGATATATTTTCCTGTAACGGGGACGTGAATATGTATTCTGTAAAATACATTAAACGGGAAACAGAAAAACAACCACGAAGTAAAAAGTATAGCCATGTCAATGTACACGTGTTCACTGGTAAAAGTTATTTTCGCAAATAATTTCTTCAATATATATATATATATATATATATATATATATATATATATATATATATGAATGTATATATGAATGTATATATATATATATATATATATATATATATATATATATATATATATATATATATATATTTATATATATGTATATGTATGTATGTATATATATATATATATATATATGTATGTATGTATATATAAATATATATATGTATATATATATATATATATATGTATATATATATATATATATATGCATGTATATATATATATGTGTATATATATGTATGTATATATCTATATATATATATATATATATATATATATATATATATATATATATATATATATATATATATATATATATGAACGTATATATATATATGTAGGTAGGTATATATATATATATATATACATATATATATATAGTAAAGAATGCTCATTTTATTTTTGTTCGCGTATTGTCTATGTCATTTTTTATATAAATTCAATTGCCTTTCTTTTTTTATGAATATTTGTCTAAATTATCAGCAGTCGTGCTTGATATATATATATATATATATATATATATATATATATATATATGTGTGTGTGTGTGTGTGTGTGTGTGTGTGTGTGTGTGTGTGTGTGTGTGTGTGTGTGTTCTCTGTTCAGGGAATTGATGTTAAAGAAAACAAACATTCTCTTCTTGTTATGACATGACATTTTTCCTTTCGCAGGTGGAGCAAACAAAGAAATGTTCCACGTTGTCTTCGTATATCTGAAGTGCATCTGCGTAGCAGTAGAAATAATCTCATTAATAATCCAAGGATGCTATCCATAATTAAATACACAGGTCCCCATCTTATCCGCGGTATTGCTTTCTGCGATCTCGGTTACCTGAAAGAACTCGTAATATTAAAACCTTTCACTGTAGGTGAGTATTTTCGCCAAGCAAAATGTTAGTCCTGTCAATGCAAGCTGAATTTGAATTTCTTAGTTGTGTAGTCATATCCTTCTATGGCAACACCAAAAACAGTCTTAACTGAAATTGAGAGCCAGGCTGCTGCAATTTCGAATATATAGAACTAATACATAAAACAGTATATATTATGAAATGAACAAAGTCCGACAATTATT